AGAAAACCCACCGCCCGCCCCTGTGATACCGCCCGCCCCTGTGATACCGCCCACCACTGCTCAAGGAACCACCAATCCAAGCAGCCCAGAAAACCCTCCATCCCCCACTGCGACCCCATCTGCTGCAGTTAAAGGGACCACCACCCCAGACAACCTGGGAAACCTACCACGCACCACCGTGGCACTGCCCCACCTGCCTCAGCAGGTCAGCTCTTCAACTAGCTCCAAAGCCTCAGCAGCCACCCCTCCTACAACTTCCAGTGCGGCCCAGCAGCAGCCCAGCACTTTACCCAGCTTGGGAAGCTCCACAGCCACCACCGCTGAACGCTCCGTCTCCACTCACACTTCAGCCACCCCAGGAGATTTAGGGCCTGCTGTCACACCATCTCCCAGTGTACCAGCTCAGGGAAAACAGTCTTCAGACCAGTTGACCAGCACTGCTGCAACTACCAGAGTCACAACGAGCAACCTTTCCCCTGGGCTCAAGGACCATGGTGTCTCTTCTCCCCCATCCATCACCAAGCAGCCTCACTCTTCTCCCAGTTCTCCAGTCCAGGGACTGGACTCTTCCACCAGAACTGGAAGCATCAAAACTTCTGTTACCCCTTTTGATGGATCCATCTCCATCACCACTAGTAAAGCATCTCTGTCTGTAGCACCTGGCATCACCAACAAGGTCCCAGAAACAGCCACCACCCAGACTCCTGGACCAGGTACCAGAAGATGAGAACCTTAGTTTCTCGAGTTGGGCAGCCCTTTTGTGATCTTTTCCTTTGGCTGCCCTAAACGCCTTCTGTTAGTATGGGGTATCATCACCTTGTCTCATTTTAGGACTTTCCAGCATGGATGTCTCCATGACAACTGGGTGTTTAGGTCCCTCTTGTCATCAGTGGAGACTGAGTCAATGCAGTTAGTGAAATTAATTCAAGCCATGAATCAAATGGTAAAGCACAGACATCAGCTTTCAGATGGACCAAACTGTGCCTGAAGCACCACCAACTGCAATGACTCGGTCTTCAGGGACTGGAAAAGGAAGCCAGAAGCACTGAGTTTGGAGGTGGAGGCTGATGTAGAGTTGGTGAAACAGACTGACAGCACCTCAAATGCTGGCTGTAGAAGATCCCTTGTAAGGCTGACAGCTTAGCGAAGGCTGTCTGGGCACGCACAGAAAATAAGCTTTAGGTGACTAAGGAGATTTTGTGGCTAAACTCTTGAGTCTACAACCTCTAAAGAGTCTAAGCAGTTAGGTAGGATATTCATCATTGCTGCATGGGATTTGGCCACTGACTTCTGTCTAAGCAGCATTATAAGAGTCCACGTGGTGTTTAGGATCTTGCTGAACACCATTAATATGTTTTCTCTAGACTTTTGGAGCTTTGTAGAGCCATGTTACTTCGTAGTGTCCTGGCAAGGCACAGTTTAGGGTCACCTTTGGCATTCTGTCTGGTAGCATTTATGGGGAAGCAATCGCACTGTAGGACTGTGAGGGGCTCCATGAAGTCTACCAGACTTGAGTGGGATTGTGGGTTTAGCCCACATCTAGCTCTGAATAAAAGCTCTGATGACACTGAAGCCCTTCTTTATCTTTCTCTGGAGAAGGTTGCCCTTGGCCCAATTTCCAGCTACCTGCAATACAGAAGCCACTCAAAAAAACCATCTCCTTCCCCCTCAGCCTTCCATCTCCTCCTTGTTGTCAGCATCACCAAATGGGCCAAGGTCTTAATGCAAGACCATCTTCACTGGCTTCATCCAAGTCATGTTTTTGAGCACGTTAGTAGTCATTAGGAGGTGAAATGGGTGTCTTCATGGAGGATGTTTCTTTCCCTTCCTGCTCTGCAGGACTGCTCTCCCATTAAAAGATGATACATGAAATTATTTTAATTCAAATTTGACATTGAGAATTGAGCATGAAGAGGTTCAAAAAACCTTTACATTTAATAAATAGGTGAGAGAATTCAAGAGAAACAGATGGCTTTGAAATTAATTATCTCCTGCAGCCTTCAGAATGTGTCTGGGAGAGAAATATCCCTCATCTTTTCTGTGGAAGAGGCAGGAGTCCCAAAAGCAAACAGGCTGTGAACAGGATGTGGCATTTTAATGCTCTTTGTCACCATTTAAGGATCAATTAGGAACCCAGGGATGGAGATTCATTTCTTCAAAAAGATTTAGGAAGGCAGGAGGCTGCTATGCTCCTTTCACTACTCCCATTGCACCAGAAACTGTCAGATGCTGCAGATCTTAACAAAGGCATCTGAAAAGATCTCAGGTATCTGAGACACCTGCATAAGGCTGGTAGACATGGGACACGTGTCCTTCTGGAGTAGCAGGTGTGCAGGACACCCCAGGCTGTCTCCCATAGTAGCAGGCACTGCTTCTAAGCATGTCACCATGGGCTTCCTCCGTAGCTGATGGAGATGCAGTCAACAGAGGTTATGGCATTTCATCCCTTTCTAATGGAGGGGGCTGCACAATGAGCTCCATTCCCTGGGAGATCATGGACAGCCAGCTCAGATAGTCGACCTCTGTTGTAGAAACCTCCATGGAAGACATCTTAGATACAGTGAAATGAGGGTCATCCCATTTACCCAGCAATGCTCCTGTTTTAAGTGATTACCCAGTTACCAACACACAGCTATCATAGCCTTTGGGTTCATCTCACCAGAACAGTCTGATGGGTTCAG